TAAAACAGGAGGCTTTAGCATCGCCTTAAGGCCCTTTCATGGGTAGTTGCGTGAACCGAAGAGGTTCGCCTAAAAATAATTTGTTGCAGAATTTAAAATTTGAGAGGTGGCTCTCGAATGAGAGAGAGAGTGGCAACCATTGGCCATCCGATACGATCCATAGCACCTTTAGTGTGCTGCCTAAATTTAAACCCGATGAATATGGTTTCTCCCGGGATTTTATTGCTGGCAGTTATTACCATCCAGGTATAAGACACTTTTGTGCGATATCTCAGGGAAATCCGGATCGACTTGTGAACGCCATTGTGGCACACTGTCCCATACTTTCTTGCCGGCATAGCCAGACAGAACCCTGTATCTGGAAGGGAAGTATAAGTTGCTTGGCACGAGGAGTTATTCTGAAGGGAATAACCACGCTTGATTAAGATCACGTTGCTTTCCATCGTAAGTGAGTAAGGTTCTTTGTTCATGATATTATATCCGCTATTATCTACTGATAACTGTGTTGGCGTCACTTCAACGTCCAACGTTGTTTGCAAAGAATCCAATTTAACGTACCTTGTACAACTCTGATTACTGAGCACGGCATATTTTTTACAGCCTAAATACGGATTCGCATAAATTAATATACCTAGTATTACTTATTGTTTTTATACTCTTTTCCTTGTTAGGCATTACCTTACATATTAATAATTAAATATCTTATAATATTTTACGTATCACTTCATTACTTAACCGATTTAAAATACTTGCTTTGATTCAGATTTTCAATGCTCTTTGAATTAATCCACATATTAAACTTTAACTTTCCATCATCACTGTAAAGATATTTCGTAGCTTTGAATTATTATATTACATGCCATTTTATTATTCTGAATTATTACTATGTGCGACCTTATTATTATGAATGATCATATTATGTATGCTTTCGTTATTCTGAACTACTATATTATGTGTGACTTACTATTCTGAATTATCATATTATATATGCTTTCATTATTCTGATCTACTATATTGTGTGTTATTTACTATTCTGAATTAAGATGTTATGTATGCTTTCATTATACTGAACTACTATATTGTGTGTGATTTAATATTCTGAATTATTATGTTATGTATGATTATAATATTCTAAACTATATTCTATTTCGTATGATTTATATTGCGCTCAATGATTTATATTGCTCTTAATTATTTATATTACTCTTAATGATTCATATTGTTCTTAATAATTTTTCGTGAGACTTCTTAATCGGGGCTATTATTTTTCTTTAACTTAAAAGTTCTTGAGCGCCCGGTATTAACAGTGCCTGTTCCGGTTTGTATCTTTGAATCGCTCATATGATTTTGCATACATATGTTTTAAATTAGAGTCACAGTGTGCTTCTCCTCATTAAAACTAACGTCACTCGAGCCAACGGACTACCAGATAGGAGTTGTCGAAACAGATGTACTTCGTTTTTTATGGTGGAACAAAGCTCGTCCAGAAGAGATAGACGTATATAGACATCGATGAGTAGTATTCGGACTCTCTTGCAGCCCCTTCCTTTTTGGAGGAACCATCGAATATCACCTAGAGAAAATGTTGCAACAGACAGAAATTGAAGAGGAAAAAAATTTCATCCAACGCCTGAAAAAATCATTTTATGTGTATAATTGCGTGGCTAGTGTAGATTCGAGAAATGAGGCCATAGCTTTCGAGACTGTTGCTAGACGTATTATAGCTATAGGCAAGTTTGACCTACGAGGCTGGGAGCACACCGGACAATTAGAAGAACCCAAGTTAACTTCAGTACTCGGTTTATTGTGGGACAACGAACAAAATATACTGAAATTATCACCTACACTAAAGGAGTTACAAACGAGCCCTCAAGTCACCAAGAGGCACATACTAACCGCTGCTCAGAAAATATTTGATCTCATAGGAGTATCTGTATCTATATCTTTAGAACCTAAGCTTTTATTACAGAAATTGTGATCGTGTAAACTCGGCTGGGACGACGAAGTATCAGAAGAAGTAAAGACTAATTTCATTAACTGGCAACAGCAACTACATTGGTTAGAAAAACTATGTATTCCACGATGGGCATTTAGTCCAAGAGAAGGCAAGATATCTTTCCACATATTTATAGACGCCAGTCAGGAAGCGTATGCAACCGTTGTCTTCGCGAGAACGGAAACTTCAAAGAACATATACGTACAACTTATTCAGGCAAGGTCTCGGGTAGCGCCTATCGTAAAGATGACGATCCCTCATCTGGAACTGCTTGCTGCCACCATAGGAGCACGACTTTGGCACTCAATAAAAGATGCAGAAGATTTCGAGGAAACAGAAGTTTTCTTTTGGTCAGATTCAGCAATCGTTTTAGCGTGGATACAAAGGAACAAACAATGGAATACATTTGTTGAAAATAAAGTCAAGGAAATACGTTCCTTATCAAATCCAGAACAATGGCACCACGTACCCGAATCTATGAACCCAGCTGACTTGCCCTCAAGAGGATGCAAAGCTAAACAGTTGGTGGAATCACATTGGTGGGAAGGCCCGACGTGGCTTAAACTATCTGCAAATCAATGGCCTTCATCTGTCTATAGCGAAAATGAAGAAGAAATCGACGTTGAGGCGAAGAGATCATACAAAAACAAAAAAGAAGTTAATACATGTATATCCATTTTACAGGAAGAGACGGGATGGTACATGCAAAATCAATCCAAGTATCTAAAAATAATAAGAACTACAGCTTGGATTCTACGATTCCTAACTAACTGTCGAGTTCAACAATCCGCTAGACTTTCAGGAGAGTTATCTGCTAGAGAATTCATCGAGGCAGACTTAACAGTTTTCAAGTTGACTCAAAAGGAATCATTCAACGAGAAGAGTGAACCACGGTTCAATACACTCGGCACATATACAGACGAAAATGGATTGTTACGTCTGAGATCTTTAATAATTAATCGCAACGATGAGTATAATTTTCGACATCCGATTCTATTGGATCCAAAACATCCTCTAGTAAAAAAACTAATTGAGTACAGACATCAGCAGCTTATGCATGCAGGAACGCAAATTGTGATGAGCAATTTAAGAGAAACCTTTTGGATACTCACATGTAGAAGAGCAGTACGTTCAGTGATAAATAATTGTTGGACGTGTAGGCGTCATCAAGCCAAGAAAGCCGACGCTATCCCTGGCAGTCTACCACAGGAACGTGTAAAAGAAGCCAATATATTTGAGATCACAGGCATTGATTATATAGGACCTTTATTTTTGAAGAAGAATCAAAAGGTATGGATTTGCTTATTCACCTGTACTGTATATAGAGCGATCCATTTGGTGCTCACCACATTGTTACGTCCAGGACCCAAAGGTATTTTTATCTTAGTGGAAAGAAGGAATTAGGAGGGGGCCAAGGAAGGGTGCAACTTGTACCGCTTTTTGTGGCTTATCGCTCCGTGGACGCGTGCCACAACTCGGAAGCACTTGTGCGAGTCTTTGGTGCGGGTAAACGCAAATACGAAGCGCTGTTACGCCGCCCAAGACAGTGCCACCGTTGGTCCTTATTTTTGATCAAGGAACTTAATCCTTATAACCAGGGATAGGACCCGTACGGTCTTCAAGGTGATGGAATGAGTCGGAAGGGTTAGAGAATGAAGGGTGACTCAATTTGATTTACAACTAATATTTAATATAATCTAACAATTTATACATTACAATATTTGGTACATTATGAATTGGTATTATCCTTTCATCTAATCGCATAGCTAATTGACATGTGAGTATATCTATATTTTATTATATGGTCGTGTGTGTGTGTGTGTGTGTGTATGGTTATGGGGAGGGAGAAGAGCGCCTGTTGATTTCGACGAAATATTCCAATGATTTCAATATTTCGTCGTAATCTGTGTCGTCTTCTTCGGGAACGGGAGAATAGGAAACGGGAGTGAAATCTAAGTAGGAAGATGATGGGCAACTAGGAGCGGTGATGGGAAAAGATTCTGTAAGGTCTATAAGAAGAATTTCTGAACTGCTGGGGGTGAATTCGTCTTTGATTTTCTTATAGGAGCCAGGCGGTTGGCTACGAGGCTCCTCTACAGTTTTTATGCTCCGGTTAACAATAGGAGGTGGAGTTCCCTTAAGAAGCGGCTCGATCCTCGCTCTCTTCCAATGTACGATGGCTATTACGCTTGACCATCTACGCGTGAAATTATAGTAGGTATAGTATGCCGGTTCTAAGCCATGGGGCTAGAGGGGAGCGCGGGGTGCGGGGGATACTCGTAGGCGAGGGGAAGCGTAGCGCGGGG